TATGTTTTTTTGATAAATCCCCTTAGCCTTAGCTTAAATTAACTAAAGTCTTGGCCAAAAAGTAAAAGTAAAACTCATCAGCGAACTCAAACACCTTGAGCTAATTAAGAAATCTTCATAGTCAGCAATTAGCTAGGCAGCTGTAAAGTGCTTTACACCTACCTGCCAGAGGTTGCCCCGTGGTACGTTCCTTGATTTTCTTTTTCTAGACAGGCAACAAATGCGTGTGCATTTATGTATGGCCGCCTCCATTTTGGCCTGGCAGTCTTTTCGACTTCCTGGCACGCAACTCCAATTTGCCTTGTCGTCACTTGATTGCATAATGCGCAACGAGTTTGGGCCGCTCATAAAAACCGGTCAACAGGCAGTCTCAGTCAACAAAGAGTTTGTCGCAGCTGCTGCTGCTGCTGCTGCCGTTGTTGTTGTTGTTGCTGTTGCTGTGTGCACTCCAAAAATATTTTTGGTGCACATTTCCCTTGTTGGCTGCTTTCGCGGTTTTGTTGCTTGGGCAAGCAGCAATTATGCAAATATTTGCGCGCCTTTAAATCGAAAAATGCCAGCAAATTGCTGGCCTGTGATTGATGTCGTCGTTGCTGTTGTTGCTGTTGTTGTCTCAGACTCAGACCCATTATCATCCGACCCCGCCCAGCTGTGGGCAATCAACGTCATAATGCGGCATTGTTAGAATCTGTTGCCGTTGCCTGCTCATCTATAATCTAATTAACGCCAGCATCTAATGGTATACACAAATTGCTACATGCCTAGCCTCTGTCTGGCCAAGTGTGACGTGTTCATCAAACATTGCACCCAAGTCGCCACAGGCAAACTGCAGACCGTCCAACAGCAGCAGCAGCTGCAGCACCACCACCAGCCACGCCTCCATCTTGCACTACTGACCAACCCATTGAGCTGCTGTTGCTGTCGAAAGCTCTTGGTTTTTGTGTTGATTTTGTTTTAATTAAACGCTCGCTCGCGGTTTCTTTCAATACTCTATCAGCAGTTTATGGCGAGTCTTTCGCATTTATTACGCTGTTTGTAAACACGTAATTACGATAAAACAACGAGCTAATTAATGCAGATATACTGGTCTATACGAGCTCTGGGCGTAGGGCATCTCGTTGATTATACAATAATTAAGTTAAAATTTTCTACAAGTTCTTGCTTCACCTCTGTCGTTGCCTCTTGAATTTTAGAGTATTTTTGCTGTTAATTCAATTTAGTTATTAGCTACTTTTTTTTTTTAAATATTTATAATTGTTTTTTTTTTTTCTCTTTTTTTTTGCGCTGGAATTTTCATAATCGGGTTTGCGGCACGTATCGATATGAAATAATTTTGCTTTCACTTTTAATAAATTGTCCGTTATTGCTCTGTTATTTATATATATATATAAGATATATGTATATATAAATTGCGATCGATCGCCGGCGGCCACGTGCAACATGCCAACGCGAGTGCGAGCAGCATGCCCCAAATACCTTTTAAAGTGAGCAGCCAAATAGCTTTTAAATTGAACCGACTTTATGGGCTAGTCGGGTATATAGTTTAGTATGCCAACGTGAGCAGGCCTGCATATAATGGCTGGGCTTTATAGGTTCTGGAGTTAAAAAGTTCTCGAGAAGACATAATGTTCTTTTTACTCGGAGCGTAAACGCGTTGAGGGGCGAAAAATCACACATAAGAGAAACCATATAAAATGGAACGAATTCATTTCAGAGGCATTAAAAAAAGTTCTGAGAGATCAAGAACCCACGTAACTTTTTTAATTAAGCGAACACAAAAGGCTGCAAAGCACTCGCTGCAAATACAAAAGACTCAAGCAACAAACTCGATTTCAATCTTTGTCTAGCCGGCGCGTGTGGGTCGCGCCATAAACTAGTCTGAGCCGCGCTTTGACATGTCTGCTTATTGGTGCACTCAGACTCCAAAGTCAAGCAGGAAATGTTTACCAATTTTCATTCAGTGCCCCGCCAGCTGAGCCGTCGACAAATGAACAAATGAGCAAATGAACAAATGATTGATGAGCGTCCCGCACAATTCGCCAAGCGACTTGACGCAATTTGTGCACAAATAGCTTCAGCCGCCTTTCACGATCAAATTGGCCAGAGCGAAGCAACTGAATCTATTGTCATTAGCTGTCAATTGGGTCACAGTTCTAAGGCACTCACTAAAAATAACTAGCTACTTATTGGCGGTGAGATTTTTTGAGCAGCGAAAGCTGCGGCAGTAAACACGAATAACTCGAATGCGACTGAGCAAATGGAACTCGTTTGGCGGCATCATTTGTACAAAACACTTCGAGAATAACAGATATTCACATCAACATTAAATTGGGGTTAACCATTTGGATTGAAGACAAAAATTTGTACTACAGTTTGTTTAATGTCTGTCCCGCTTTGAAATTTACTTTAATAGTAATAATTTGTATACAAGCTATGGAGGAATGCAGATGCTTGATTTGGGTTCTGTTTACTTAAGAATTTATTGAGAGAGGAATTTAATTTTCTTGATTCTTACTCTCTATATATTCTCTTGAATATTGTATTCTTAGTGAATTTCGTACCTTATTTTATTATTGTTTATTCAATAAGTTATAAATAAACTCCTCCTGCAAGGGCTTTATATACATATTTCTAGAACATATAAAATCTCTTTTTATCAAAGATAGAGTCTGAGGACATCGCTCAGCCAGCCTTCCTCTAATCGTCAAACTGATTAAAAGTTTATTATTGAATATCTAAATAAGTCTCCTTTACTTAATTCTTGACATAGATTAGCTTTAATCTCCAATAAATAAATTAATATAAACCCATTTCCAACACATAAGCCACATATTCTCCTCCATCGGTCTCAAGTCAAGTGCCTAATTGTATTTTCTCTTTGGTTTCCTTAGCATGGCGAAAGCATGGAACGGGACTGCGATGAGCGCTGCACCTGCAACCGCGGCGAGTGGATTTGCGAGCCGCGTTGCAAGGGCAGCAGCTATCCGCGCGGCAGCCAACGCACCATGGCGAATCCGCACTGTCACGAGCGCATTGTGGAGGAGGATGAATGCTGTCGGACGATGGAATGTGTGGAGCCGCTGCTGGAGCCCAGTTTAGCCACCGCCGACCTGGCTGGCATGCCAGTTGTTGTTGCTGCCGAGCAGAATGAAGGTGAGTCCAGTTCCAATTGCAGTCAGCAGATGCAGCGAAAGCTTTTGCTATGGCTTAGAACTTTCTGCTTGACAGCCTATGCCAGTCCATGCTTTAACGTCATGTTTCTTATGCTTTCCATAAACACCATAAACACACACACACACATACACACATAAAACTCCTTCATACACATGCACTTACAACTAGAAGGCACGCCCAAGCCACGCAGCGACTGCCACTACGAGGGCGGCATCTACAAGTTCCGCGAGCGCCTGGAGATTGGCTGCGCACAGATCTGCCATTGCGATGAGGGAGGCATCATGAACTGTCGGCCACGCTGCCCGGAACGCAATCACACGCGCGCCGACAAGTGTGTCTATGTCAAGGATCCGAAGGACGTCTGCTGCCAGCTGGAGCTGTGCGATGTCACCCTGGACGATCACGAGCAACAGCAGCCGCTGCCGCCCACGCTGCATGGTGGTCTGAACAGCATTGGAGATGAGCAGGAGCAGGAGCGGAGCTTTGGCTTGGAGGAGCAGGCACGTGATGCTGGCGGTGCCACGCCTCAATGCAGCTTCAAGGGCGTACAGTATGATCTGGAACAGCAGTTCCGCGACGGCTGCGAGCAGCTTTGCATCTGCAATGAGCAGGGCGTGCACTGCGCCAAGGTGGAGTGCCCCTCCACCTTCGGCCTGGACGTGCTCAATCCCCTGTGCATACGCTGGGAGCCGGTGCCGGCGGACTTTAAGCCCGTGGCGCCGCACTGCTGTCCAGAGAGCATGCGCTGCGTGGACAACGGCACCTGCACCTACCAAGGCATGGAGTTTGAGAACTGGGCACCCATTCCGACCAACCTGACGGGTAAGTGACAATCAACCCAGACAGGCTCATTCAATCAGTCATACATTCGTGCCTACCCCGAAGGTTGTGAGAAGCACTGCTACTGCGAGAACGGCAAGGTGGAGTGCCGTCCGGCATGTCCGCCCGTGTTGGCGCTGCCACCCGCTGACCTGCCTTGCCATCCGGCTCAGGCGCGTCTGCTGCCCATACCCGACGACGAGTGCTGCAAGCACTGGGCCTGCGCCCCGCTGGCACCCAAGCTGGGTGCCGCCGGGCAGGAGGAGGAGACTCAGCAAGATCAGCAAAAGCAACCGACCACCCAGCCCTCAATGACACCTGGTAAATATGGTTAGGGAATGCATGAAGCAATTTCATCTCGTTTATTGCATGCCAAGTCCAATTGAAATTGGCCAAAAGGCCCTAAGCCACGTTTACACAACATCACGAACCTGATTAATGCTTTAATTGATGCTGTGGTGTAAACCAAATATTCACGTTAATCGAGAATTGAAATTGGAGTACAATTGACGAGCTCGTTATCAAACATCTCGCAAAGCATATTCATTAATATCGCTCATCTCTTTCTCGCACGATTTCCAAGCATTACTATTCCATTATGATTTATTGCTGCTTTTGCTATTTAACTTGCCTTCTCTTTTCTCTCTTCTGCTGTATATGTTTCTTTTTTTTATTTTTTATGGCGTGCTATTTTACTATATATAAAATTGTATACATTTATTTTCAATGCTTCTGAAAAAAATGAACAAAAAATAACGCTATGCATTTGTAAATAATTCAAATACCATTCAACATGCAACCAATATCAGAAACAACAACAACATCGACAACAACGACAACGACAGCAACCACAACTGACAACGTGTTGCCTGAGAGGCCAGCGGATGTTGATTATGAGAAGAAACCTCAGCTGGCCGCCTTTTATCCTACACTGGACGGCAAACCGCCAAAGGCAGCTGCTGGCGTCTTTGAGAAACATGAAAAGCACCACAAGAAGGTCCAGCAACAACAACAGCAGCAGCAACAAAATGACATTAAGTACGATGTGCACGAGGATCCGCAGGAGGACGTTGTGAACAATGGAGCACCACTGGCGCCAGGAGGCGGCTATGTGCCACTGCAGCTGGGCGGACACTACAACGACTATCAACAGCAGCAACAGCATCAGCAACAGCTGGGACCCTTTGGCTTCTACAATCCGGCAAAGCCTGCCTATGATGCATACAATCCCTACGAGCCATACGACATCAATCCGAACGGCATACCACAGGGCAAGCCGCCGCCGGTGCCGACTAGTCAATCGGATCTGTTCAATATTCTGGGTGCTGAACAGCCTGGACATCCGGGTCAGACGTTGCCCCAGAAGGACAACCACAATCTGCCCTCACATGTGAGAATCGAGCAAATATTGCAGCACTTGCAGCAGAGCGTGCCAGGCGGGCCAGGATCCGCACCTCAGCAGCAGCAGCAGCAACAGCAACAGCATCAACAAAGACCACTGCCTCCTCATTATGTGCCCATAGTGCACAGTGGAGTGCCACCTCCGCCGCCGCCCCATGGCATTGCTATAGTCGATGGCCAGCCCGTGGCCTATGAGAGCTATCCTTTGATACCCGGCTTGGGCGTGTCACCAGCATTGCAACATCCCCAACAGCAGCCACATCCCCAGCAGCAGCCGCAGCAACATCAACAGCAAAAGCAGCTAAAGCAACAACACGAATCATTGCAGCAATTGCCTAGCATTGCGCCCAGCTCTAGCACCAGCTCTGGCCTGTCCACGCAGGCCAGCGAGCACAGCCTGCACCACAGTCCGAGCCAGAGTCCGGACAAGCTGCCCACGCAACAAGCAGGTTGAGATTCTACTCTTTTCTAGCCACATCCTTCTTAGTTTACTCTAGTCTCTCTTCATGCCGTATGGACACTGCTATACTGATAAACACAATGACAGGGCTCTACTGTACTAACTGAGACTACTTCAACCACCACACACATACATGCACACACATACACACATATATATACTCATCACCAGTCATCCACATCATTGTTGAGCTTATTAGATAACGTTTTAACCCAAACTAATCCCAATTTCTGCCTAGAAGTGAGCGAGAATCGATCGAAAGCTGTTCTCAGTACCAATTCCAATTTGAACTCAAATTTATGCATGAAAAAAATCAAATATATTTTGGAAATATGTTTTCTTGGAATTGGAGCTATGAATGTGTAGTAGTGCTCAAACTCAATTTAGAGATCTAAAATCACAATATTTAATGGTTTTATACCTTTTGCAGGCTTCAACAATCTGCAGCCCGATATCGAAGTACACACTCTGGAGGCCATCGATCCGCGAACCATTCGCATTGTGTTCACGGTGCCCCAGGTCTATGTGAATCTCCATGGTCGCGTGGAGCTGCGGTACACCAATGGACCGAGCAACGATACGTCTAGCTGGGAGCAGCAGATATTTGCACCGCCCGAAGATCTGATTGCCACCTCACAAATGGAGTTCGATTTGCCTGGCCTGGAGCCCAACTCGTTGTACAAGGTGAAGATTACGCTGATTCTGCGCGATCTCAACTCGCAGCCCACGAGCAGAGTCTTCACGGTTAAGATGCCAGCTGAGAGGACGATAACGCCGCCGCCACAGATCTCCGACTACAGGCCAGACTTCCAGGACATATTTAAGACCGTGGAGGATCCCGAGCTGAATGTGAGTGAAACGAACGCCACCTGGCTGCAGCTCACTTGGAAGAAACTGGGCGACGATCAGATGGAGTATGTTGATGGAGTCCAGCTGCGCTACAAGGAGCTAACGGGCTTGATCTACTCCTCCTCGCCTTTGATACACCGCACCCTCACCAGCTACACCATACAGAATCTGCAGCCGGATACGGGCTACGAAATCGGCCTCTACTACATTCCCTTCGCCGGCCACGGGGCCGAGCTGTTGGCCGGACATATGATCAAGGTGCGCACAGCACCCAAAACGGATGTCTACGGCTTCGATGTGATGGTCAATGTCACCAAGGTGAAGTCGCAGAGCGTGGAAATCTCCTGGAATGGTGTGCCCTACCCGGAGGACAAGTTCGTGCACATCTATCGCGCCATCTATCAGAGCGATGCCGGCAAGGAGGATTCGAGCGTATTCAAGGTAGCCAAGCGCGACAGCACCACAGGCACTCTTATCATGGACCTCAAGCCGGGCACCAAATATCGCCTCTGGCTGGAGATGTACCTCACCAATGGCAACACCAAGAAGAGCAACGTGGTCAACTTTATAACCAAGCCGGGTGGTCCAGCGACACCGGGCAAAACAGGTAGGAATCGAGTTTTATGTATAATGTAAATTTAGCTAAGATGAGTTTCTTCAATTTCAAGTCTTGCGTATTCTTGAAAGGATCTATTTGAGTTTTAAGAATCTTGGTAATGCTTGAATGACTTCTCTGAGTTATTGGAAGCAAATATATATGTGTATATATTCATCTTGTTTTGATTGCGCTGCAATAGATTATGATTATATTTAGTTAATCAGAACATACATGAAGAGGCCAATCAATTATCTATCTCTTTCTCTCTCATTTAGGCAAATTGCTGACTGCAGGCGTCTCTGATCAACCAGTGGGCGACTATTACGGTCCACTTGTCGTCGTCTCCGTGATTGCCGCCCTGGCGATAATGTCGACGCTCGCACTGTTGCTGATCATAACCAGGAGACGAGTGCATCAGACGGCATCGATAACACCGCCGCGCAAGAGCGACGCTGCCTACGACAATCCCTCGTACAAAGTAGAGATACAGCAGGAGACAATGAGTGAGTGTCAATGGTCTCTCGATTATGTTTTATGTTATTAACTCTTACCCACTTTCAGATCTGTAACGGGTCGTTCAGATGGGAGAGGCAATACTCAACGCACCCAAAACTAGCTTAGAACAATGTTCTTGTAAATACTTCAAAAACTCAAAACTCAGTGTCAGTAAAAGAACGAAAAGATTATGATGAAATGAATAAGATTTTCCATTCCCCGGCGCAGGATCTGAAGGATGTCCACACACTAAAATGGCCGCCATGTTGTATGTAGTGTTTAAGAGCTCTTTTAAATGAACTAAAAACATTTTTCGTTGTTAAACAATTGTAACTTGTGTATATAGAGAAATAGAAGAGAATAACTGAAAACTGAAGACCGAATAATGATATCGGAAAACTGACAAAGTCCAAGAAACCAATCTGGCCTCGCCTGGGGCGTGCGAAATGTTTATGTTTACGCAAATTCTTCTAGCGATTTCTAAATGCCTAGTTAGTTTAACTTGTAAATTTTAGCTTTACATACGTACATATACCGTAATTTAAGAACGAACACCAGCAGTTCTTCAAGTAACAGTCCATAAATATTTAAATATTAGCTTGTAAACGTACAGAGATATGCAAACTTATGAATAAATAAAATATTACAAATTATTGTTTAAGCGTTCTTATTTGATCACGTTTGGCTCAAGATTGTTCTAGAATATTGGGTAATACACATTGCATTGTCTGTTTCAATCGGAATTTCTGGAATTCCGATATCCAGAAACAGCCAATGTTACATTATATGGCACCTATATATCGATAAGTTTCTGGAAATCCGAATTCCAGAAAGTTCGAATTAATGTCGTTAGCAGAAGCGAGACTGCCTTATAAAATTCCATTGCGAACCCAAAATTTACTGTTTGAATTACATTTTTAAAGTTCTTTATTGTTTGCATTTAGATAAATTAAAACTTGCAAAATATTTGCAGAATTTCCATATCCATTAGGTTAAAAATCACATTTTCAGTATATTATTATTTTTGTTTTATGCCAAACTTCATCTCGGCTGGTTTGACATTGAAAATGCTAGATAAAATATTAAGAAAAATATATATATGTATATATATTATTATTATTACATTTGTTTGGCCATGACTTTTGTGACATTTATACAACATTAACTGGGAACTTTTAGATGACTTTGCCTCTTAAGTTTTTTTTTCTTTCGACTTTTTATTTCAATATGCTTGCAGCACCAACAACATATATTCTTAATTGTATGTATATGTATGTGTATATATATAAATATATAGATATTTATATATGTTTGTATGTATGTATGTATATACAAAATGCACAACTAGATTTTGGTTTGAAGAATTCAAAATTCAAATTTCGTAAGCTTATGTCACGCTAAATGCTAAGTTTCTTGATTAATGTTTAAGAAAGAACTATGATAGAGCAAAAATAGAACAAAAATGTATGTATGTGTATGCAAATTTTGGATTGCGTGTGGCCTGAACCATTCTTTGTGTGTGTTTGCTTTAAAATTCTCATACATATAAATACATATTTAAATAAGTTTTTCGTTTGCGTTAAAATTTACAATACGCCCTTTATGTTTTTCGATTTTTGCTTTTGTTTTTGATTTCTGTTTTCAATTTTTTAATTTTACTTTCACATTTCGGTTTGCATAAAAGTAATCACTGTTTAGCCTCCGTTCTTTGACATTAAGTTTGTTGGTTGGTTGATTGGTTTAGGCATGGCAGGACTGACAACTGGAACGTTGGCAATTTCTACTTGGTGCTAGTGCTAGCACTGGCACTGGCACTGATGCTGGCGGCAGCTTCGCTGTTGCTGGTGCACTGTTCGATGACGCTGTTGCCTTCAGCATCGCTGGTGGTGGTGGTCGATGAGTTACTTTCGTGGTCCTCTTCTTCAACTTCTGATTGATCCTCTTCGCCGTCATCGACATCTTCGTTCTCCTCGTCGACGGCATAGACATCGTTCTCAATCAAACGCAAGTCCATGCTATCGAACGAGTCGGTAATTACACTATCATCGTCGGTCGTTGTATCATCCTCTAGCCCGGATGCTTCGTCCATATCTGCATCATCATCAGCAAGGTTGCTCTGGTGATGTGACGGCGATTCGCTGCCACTGCCAGCATCGATGCGCATCTCCTGCATTAGCTCCTGGATCAGTTCAGTCTCGATTTCAATGATACCCAGATCCAATTGGCGTTTCGTCACATCCATTAGCACATTTTTTACGTTGCGTGCCAGCA